TTCAAAGAAATAATAGCTATTGAGCTGCACTATTCAAGCCATGCAATGTCACGTCATCAATTTCAAAAGCACCTGTGGGGTGACCATTACTGGTTCTATTTTCCAGGCCATATAAAGAGAAGTGGGGTAGTTACTGTTGTACAAAGTCCCACCGTTGGTAGGTAGGTGGTAATGCACCATTCAACAAGTCTGGTAGGCCCCATCTAAGTTAGAGAAACAACCTTGTCCGTGCGGCCGAACTCTAAGGCTCTTAGCTTCCTCTAGACAGATCTAAGTTTTGTAATCCATCCCTGCCCCTCTGCTTTGGAATCTTCATATCAACAAGTTAGTAACAGTTCCTTTGTACTTCTATTACCAATCAAGGAGAAAATGACAGTTATCATAGATCATACTTTACTCTTAAAGACGTGAACAAATACAGACAACTTACTTTTTGTGTTACACAGCATTAGCTCTTATAACTGCATATGAGTTGATCTGTAAGAATGGCCTCAGACATGATCTCATTTAGTAGATATTAATTTAGGTCCCTAGAAAGACCCCAAAGAGCAATCAAAAAAAGAAAAATAAAAAACATCAGGAGATATATAACCCACCTGAAACTGAGGAAGGACTCATAGCTTGGAGATCTTTAAGCAGTGACACTGAGCAGCTAATTCTATGGCAAAGAGTACAGGGACCCCAAAGATAAAAGGCATTCTATGGTTAGAAAACTATTTAGAGCCACAAACCTGTCCTTCACCTCTGTGCCTGTGACTACCACAAACACCCTGTTCCACACGAGAAAGCACTGGTCCAAAGAGAAATACTTCAATTAGTGACGTTAGAGATCCTCTGCAATGTACTGTATCTTAAGATAAAGAGTAGTAACAAAACCAACGCACGATTCATCACCAAGCGTTTGTGACCAGGGTCCAGGGAGACAGCGCAGCAGGGAACAGTGCTTGTCACCCAAGCCTGAAGGCCTGAGCTGGACTCCCAGAACTTATAGAAGGGTGGCAGAAGAGCAGATTCCAGAAAGTTCTTTTCTGACATCCACAGGCTTGCTGTGGCATGGGTAACGACCCCCACCCACCCACACACATTGATCTCCATAGGCTCTCTGACACACATAACCCCCCCAATACGCACATGCCTAACACCCCCCCACAGATACATACATACATAATAATAATAAAATTTTCAAAAAAAAAAAAAAGAGTTCATCACCAAAGAGCATGTTAAATCCAGCCACACTGAATGATGACATCAACCTCAGCAAATGATCCTTTTTACTGGCTGTCTATCTGAGGAATTCTTGTGACCAGCAAGTTTACCAGTTTTTAATTAAACTTTTAATATATACTATCTGGGCTAGTAAAGTGGCTCAGTGGGAAAGACGTTTGCATGCAAACCTGACAACCTGAGTTCAGTTCCTGGAACCCAAGTGTATAGTCAGTGTTAAGAATCTAGAACCACCTGGGGGATGGAGCCTCTGGGCATGCCTGTGAGGAACTGCCTTCATTACGTCACTTAAGAGACTGCCCACTGTGGGTGGCACCATTCCCTCACTGGGATCCTGCACGTCTAAATGGAGAGAGGAAGCTAAACCGCGTTGAGTGTGCATTGCCTCTGCTTCTCAAGTGTGGTATGATACCACCAGCTGCTCCAAGCTCCTACAGGCTGCTCTGACTTACTCACCATGATGGGGCTTGGTGTGCCTTTGTTCCCTCAAGTTCCTTCTGCCAGAGTATTTTATCATAGCACAGAAAAAGAAAATACCATGGAAATGGAGGAGGAAGATGCTGTACAAGGCTGTCCCTCTGGTAGGCAGGTGCATGTCACAAAATGTGGGCACACACACACGCACACATACATACATACATACACACACACACATACATACATACACACATACACGGCAGTAGATTATTGTAACATAAAAATCCTAATTTATACCAGCTAAGGATACCCCTAACTCAGATCTTTTCCCCAAACCTTAAAATAACCAACCGTTCTGTCAGCGCGTGTGACTGTACTGCAGCGGGCCAGCCCTCTGCACGGTTACTGAGAACTTACCCCACACATGCATGCATTTCCCTCCAGTCCTAACTGTAGTCTCGGAGATAAGTATACCTTCACTTCCAATGAACAGTGGCACTGCGCCAGGTAAACTAGCAAACTGGGGTGCTTCTGGCCAGACAGGGGCGACAGGAAGCCTTTCCAAACTGCCTATTCCCACAGAAGAGCAGCGTATTTCAGAGCCTCGACTCAGCCTAGCCTATAAGCACTGAAGGGTGCTTATCACCTCACACACAGCTTCTGCTAGGTCCCTACACCACAGGACACTGGAGGTCACAAGAGTATAACTCAAAGAGAAAGTTAAGTCTAAAAGGGGTGATGTGCCTGCCCAGTCAGACCTTACTCACACTCACTAACGTAAGAAATATTTCAACCCACTAAGCATCAGGTACCAGAGTGCCCACAGATGCAAAGGAGGATGAAGGATATTTGGTGGGAGAAAGAAGGAAGGGCTGCCACAGAAGCATTCAAGAGGAATCATTTGGGACTAGGGGACTGAGAAGGAACTTCTAAATGAGGAGCTAAACTGAGCCCTAAAGGATGAGCGGGGAGCCCCCAAGAGTAGTGTGGTCCCTCACACTGCTAGGCTGTCACCTGAGGAGATCCGGAAACAAATCATCAGTGTTCAGAACACTGAAAAGATTTCTTTGCTCAGGGTGCAATTTCTGAAGACACAACAGGGCTGCGGAAGGAACAGACCCAGGAAGGCAATGTACGAAGACTTGACTCTCAAGAGTGATGGGAACACAATGTTTTATGAAAGAAGAGACACAGTCCAATCTCACCTTTGAAAATGTTCTCAGGGGGAAAAGAAGAAAGAGTGTGTTCCCTGCTGCCAGTGAGAAGAATAATACATGAGAACGCACGGATGCCTAGATGAAATCACACACATCCCACAAGGAACGCTTGTTTTATCTAAAGAGACAACGTACTAAAGCGAATGCAATAAAAACGCTGCTGTATAACTTGGAATCCCTGGATAGGTTAAGAATTTACAGCATTTGGGTGGCCAAAAAGTAAAACATTTGCTTCATGAGTGGCTCAGATAAATAGTATAAATAATCAAGACTGATTAATAAATGTGACTAATATCCCATATAAATAACTTCCCCAAAGTCCAGTATAAACTAGTTGCTAATCAGTTCCTTCACATTTTTATACAGTTCCCCAAGAACAAAGAAGATAAAGATTAAAGCAATAAGATGATATTTTATCTTTTAAAATATTATGCTTTTGAACCCACAGATCAGTTTTAGAATCATCAAAAGTGAGACAAGCTATATTCCTCATGATGTGATATAAAAATAATGAAATACCCAGGACATATTCTTATCCAGAGATTTCAACCTGAGGCTGGGGAGATGCCTCGGTGGGTAGAGCACCTGCCAGCAAGTACTGGGAGCTGAGTCTGGACGCCCAGAACCCAGGGAGAGCTCCATCTAGGAGAACATACACCGGCACTTCTACGGTGGGCTGGGATGGAGGCAGGGACAGGAGAACTGGAAGTTCATGGGCCAGAGAGCATGGTGTATGGACAAGAAACTATCTCAAACAAGGGGAAAGGAAAAGACCAACACCCAACATTTCCTCTGAGCTCCACCTCAAAGCCTTACTCGCTCACGGGAGACATGCACACACAAAGATGTCAAACCCAGTAACGATAGAGATAACCTATCAATAACTTAAACACTTCATTTCTACCCAGCAGTGGAGGCGCATGCCTTTAATCCCAGCTCTTGGGAGGGGAGGCCAAAGGCAGGAGGATCTCTGTGAGCTCAATGCCAGCCTGGTCTACAGAGCGAATTCCATGACAGACAGGACTACACAGAGAAATCCAGTCTCAAAAAAAAAGTAATTTTCACAATAATCCAATAATACATTCAAAATTAAAATTGAGAAAATCCTGCTATGAAATTATACAACAACTATATAATATTATAAGAATTCTTTCTGGATCCCAACCAATCAGAAAATGTGAACACAGCCTAACATGATATTCAATACAGTAATAGGCGATGTCAAAAATAATTCTGCTTATGCTATTAAGTCTAATCGTTAAGTGAGGATTTTTTTATTTTTACATTTATTTGTTCTATGTATGTGTGTGCACATGCATGTGTCCACAAGTGTGGCAGTCAAAAGGCAACTTGCAGGAGTCTGTTCTCTCCTACTATGTGGGTCCTGGGGACTGAACTTAGGTCAACAGACTTGAGCCATCTCACTGGCCCTTTTAGGTGGTTTTAAAAAAAATCATACCAGTTAAAAATGTACATTAATTATTTTTAAAAGAGACTGTGGGCTGAAGAGATGGCTCCGCAGTCAGAGCGCTGACTGCTCTCACAGAACCTCAGTTCAATACCCAGCACCTACAGCTCACAACAGAGGATCTGGCACCCTCTTATGGCCTCTGTAAACACTGCACACACAGTTGCACATACATGCAGGCAAACACTCATAAAGTAAAAACAAATAAATCATAAAAGAGACAGAGTACCATCATCTGGTGACTCTCGTCAGGAGTTGAACTGCAGAGTTTCCTAAGGGATGAGGCTCATCTTGTACTATAAACTCAAGGAAGGACAGGTGAAGTACAAGGCCACCGGTAGCACTCGGCGTCACTGCAGCCTCTCCACCCCCTCTCCTCCTTGCTGGGCACAGACTAAAAGGCACACTCTGATGCCTGCCTTAGCTTCACCTGCAGTAACCTCAGCTATCAACAGACATGATGGACAAGCTATGCCTACTGTTGTGTGTGCAAGGAAAGGCAGTTGGGATTGGGAGGGTTTGGGAATGTCCCATTCCACATATACAGAAAGAGAGGCATAAGGACAAAGAGGTCACACTAATCCTAACCCTGACAGAGCCACAAGCTGAATGTCAGAGGTGGCCAGCACAGACGCTCCTCCTGGTGCTGGAGCATGGATGTCACGCTCACTGACCTTCCCATGTTCCTTCCTCATGTGAGAGAGATACACATCCCTCTGTGTGAACAGACGGTCACACTCCCAACACGTCCACCCGAGACTGGCCGTCTTCTTCGATTCTGTGGATTTCTTTGCAGGAGATGGAGACTTCTTTTCCAATTTCTCTTTCCCATTCATAGCCTTGGCATCCTCTCTGCTGTGGTTTGTTGAATTCTGAGTTGCAGGCTTAATGCTCAAAGGCAAGTTTATACCCAAGTTTGGAGGCCCTTCAATACTTTTCAATGTTCCATGCATAGACTGCATTATAAAAAGAAAAGAAACGCCTATCATAAGTCACACCAATTCGACAGAATAGCAATTATTCACAAAGTATTTCCCAAACTAAAAATACACATTTTTAAAGGCATAAAGGGCAGTCAGACATGGTGGCACACACCTATAACGCCAGCACTCAGGAGGCAGAGGCAGAAAGATCTCTACACAGCAAGTTCTGGGCCAGCCTGGGCTACAGAGTAATTCTTATCACAAAAAAATTTAAGTAAATCAAGATGAATTAAAAACAATGGAGCCATGACGTGTAGTGGTGCACACCTTTAAACCCAGCACTCAAGAGGTAGAGGCATGCAGATGTCTGTGAATTTGAGGCCACCCTGGTCTATGTAGACAGTTCTAGGCAAGCCAGGGTGGTATTGAGACCCTGTCTCAAAAAAAAACAAAACAAAATAACAACAAAAATGAGGCAGGGAAGGGGGGATAAAGGAAAATTAACTTTCTTTACTTGATGAGAGAGCTCACATGTCAAGGCACATGTGTGGAGATCAGAGGACAATTTGAAGGAACTGGTTCTCTCCTTCTACTGTGTAGTTCCTGGGATGAGACTTGGGCCATCGGGATGGCAGAGGGTACCTTTACCCACTGAGTGATCTCTCCAGTCCCATAAAGAAACATAATAATTAACTTTAATGACTGCTCTAAGCTATGTTTCAGTTTCAACTTTTTAAATTTATTTATTTTGTGAGCATGTGTTTATGTGTGTGGGAGCACACATGCCACACACCACATATGGAAGTGGTGACTCTATTGGGAGTTAAGCATCTCATTCCACCATATGGAATTCAGGATAGTGCTGGAAATCAAACTCAGGTTGTCAGGGGCCTTTACCCACTGAGCCATCTCATTGATCATATCAAGGCCTATCCATCAGTGCCTTTTAACACTCTCTGAAGACAGGACCCTGTACGGGAACATGTTAGTTAACCCCCATCCCCCAGCCAAGAGCAAGTCCTCTGGAGAGGGCTTCACCTTCCCGCTTATAGAACTGTATAAGTAGTCTCACATGCAAAAGAGTATCCAAGGCCCATGATCCAGCAAGCCATGCTACTTCTCACATTCTTGGAATACCTGTAGCCTTTAGGTACAGGCACTGTCAGGATTTGGGGGTAATTTCCACCTCTCAATCACCCGTTCCTGGGAGGAGTATACTGCCTCTATGTGTGTACCCAGTAAGTATTCAAAAAGCCTTTTAAAATTGGGTAGCTGTTTATTATCATTAACAGCCCACAAACGGCCATCCTGAACTCACAGGACTTCAGATGTGGTAGGATAAAATCAGTACAATTTGATTCCTTTTTACCCCTTTGCAGTCCTAAGCATTGCATCTAGGGCTGCACGCATTCCAGGCAAGTACTCCATACTGAGATCTGCACCTTTCTACTTTTTATTTTGAGGCAGTCTCACCAAATTGCCCAGGCTGCCTTGTGCTCACTATTTAGCTCAGGCAAATCCTGAACTTGAGACTCCGTAGCTGCTACGTGCAGTACCACCAGACTCAACTGACGCAACTGATTCTAAAGACTTTTGTTTCTTGTTTTCTGTATTCTAAGGCAACAAGTCTCTCTCAAGACACAGTTATTTGTGAATGGGACCTTCTCTCCTGAAAAGAAGGTAGTTTGCCTCACAAGTTCTGTGCCTACAGAAGTACATTCACAGGAGTTGTCCCTCAGGAGTTCTGAGACCTAGGTCCCTGTTGTCACCAGACCAGCTCTGTGGAAGGCTTGGCCCCAAATTCCTTCTGAGTGGTCAAGGAAGACATTCTAACTCCCCAGGATTCTTTCTTAAGAAAGGGCTTAGCTACACAGTTCAGTATTAGTGGCCTTCTTGCCCCCTGTCCTTCCCAGGAGGAAAAGAGAGTGGTGTGGTAGCCTCTGAGCAGGACAGACAGTTTCCTAAAGTCACACCTTCTTTTCTCCAAGTACATGCCAGACTTCTGTGTGCCCAGAAGGCAGCTAGTCTGTGCCTCAGTATACAACTTACCTGTTTATACTTGTGTGTGTGTATATGTGTGTGTGTGTGTTTCACACGTGTCCATGTGAAGACCAGAGTTCAACCCCAGGAGTCCTCCCTCCATTTTAACAACTGCACTCTCTCTTCAGCCCCTGGGCTTTTTTTAAAAAACAAACAAACAAACAAACAAACAAAAAAACATGTCTAACCATTTTAAAAATAAGGGACAAATTCTCAAGTCTTAAACTTTCCATAAGCTTCAAGACAAATGGAAGAGAGGGCAGGGACACATTTCTCCTCCGTAAAATAACCCTGGGGAAATCACCAAGAAGTGGGGATTCCACCAAGACAAGAAGAGCACTGTGCTGAAATGAAAGTTTCTAAGTTATTTACTGTGTATTTGTCTATACACTGTAAGTAAAACAAAAATCAACTATCTTTAATGAAAGAAATAAAAATGCATCTAGCATGTGCAAGGTCCTACATTTGATCACCAGAAACATCTTTTTAAAATACTAATACAACTTAATTCATTCAGAAATGACTTTCCTTTGGCTCTTGCAACAGCAGCTAACCTAGATGACTATAAGTTAAAAGGTTCAGCTGAAAGTGAATGTCAACATGGAAGGTAAGGACCTACCAAGTAAATATAGACGTATCCTGGGAGAACAGGGACATGCTGTGAATCAGGTAAGAAAGGGTCACCTGAGAGACAGGCAGAAGACAGCGGAAGAGAGAGTGTAAGAGAGACACTGTGTGTGTGTGTGTAAGAGAGAGAGAGAGAGAGAGAGAGAGAGAGAGAGAGAGAGAGAGAGTGAGAGAGAGAGAGTGTGTGAGAGAGAGAGAGAGAGAGTGTGTGTGTGTGTGTGTTAGGGGGGGCAGGGAAAGCCACCCTCCTCAACACCCCCACTCCAGTTCTCCTTTATGACTAACTGCTCACAAGTACCAGGCAAGATAAATATGGAGCAAGTAAGAGCCGCATCATTTTAAACATAAAGATGCCTTAAAGCACTGTGTTTCTATTCTTTCCTACCAAGCATAATGTAACAGGAGTTTAGGACGCTAGCTAGCATGTACATAAAACAAAAACAGCCCCACTGTTTTCCCATCACATAGGCTGGGAAGGGTCCAGATAACTAAAACAATCTCTCTCCATGGTCACGGGATTAGACCATTCTTCCTCAGTCTCTATTCTTTGGGGCCTCTATTTATCCACATTCACTATTACAAGAAGAATCCCCTATCCCACCCACACACCACTTCCTCATGCCAAGCTTAAGTTCCAGAAAGCAAATCTCAGAAGCCTTGGAGAGGCAACTCGCCCCTCCCTGCCTACCTCCTGTTCCGCAGGGGGAAAGAGCGAAGCTAGAACTGAGCAGGAGGGGCACCAGCCTCTAATCCCATTACTTAGGAGGCTGAAGCAGGAGATTTCTGGAAAATCAAGGTCAGCTTGGTTTATGTAGTAAATTCTAGGCAAGCTAGAGTATCATCGTAAGACCCTATCTATTAAAAGGGGGGCGGGGGAGAAAGGAAGGAAAAAGAAAGAAAGCCGAAATTAAGTACCAGCCTTGAGACTGAAAATGGAGCATGTTGCCTCTTTAGGGGCGTGGAGACGAGCATCCAAACAAGGCACTTACACTAACACCCACCCGGGTCCAACACCCAGTCTGCCCTAAGTATTTAAAGCCAGCAGCTCAGTGCCTAAGAGCACTTAATACTTACTTTCTTGCAGAGGACCTGGGTTTGGTTCCTAGCACCTACATGGTGACTCACAACCATCCATAACTCCAGTTTCAAGGGAACTGATACCCTCTTCTGACCTCAGAGGGCACCAGACATGCATATAGTGCCCATACATACATGCAGACAAAACACACATACACATAACATAAAATTGGGGGTGGGGGGAGAAAAGATAACTATGCAGCCCTGGCTAGTCTGGAACTTGCCATGTAGACGAGGCTGGCCTTGAACTCACAGGGATCTTCCACCTGCCTCTGCTACCAATTCAAAGTGTGTGCCATCATGTCCAAACTACATGCTATTTTTTATAGAGTGAAAAATATGAAAGACTAAATCAAATACAATGCAAATTTGAGTGCTTATATGATTTCAAGGGGGAAACCTCAATTTTTCTGAATGCACTAATATTTGTATAAATTAACAAGACTCATCAAAAGTCCTGTTTCCTAATTCCATATGACAGAGTTCTAAAAACAGAACACTACAGAAGCTGTCAAGAGCACATAATGCACTTGCGGAAGACCCGAGTTCAATTCCCAGCACCCACCACACACCATTTACAACTGCCTGTTCCAGATCCAGGAGAATCTGAAGTCTGGTCTCCACGGGCACTCACATGCATATACCCGCACACTGACAAATACACATGGTTAAAACAAAAATAAACCTTATTTCCTTAAAGAAAACTCAAGCCATCATTTTCATGTAAATGAAAAGAGCCCTAATAACCTCATTATTCTTTTAAACCAGAGCATGCACACCAGCTCCTTCTCTGCGTCTTTGGGAGGCAGGGCTCCTCGATAAATGGCACCCCAAAGCTATCTGTGCATAAGGACAGCCTGTGTCCTGGGCCGATATCCATCTATTTCCCTAGGTAGCAGCATGCTTTACAGAAACCTGCCGCTCAGCCAGGGCCCTACGACCATGCATGTATCTGCAGTTCACTTAGACGGGAGGAGAGACGCGCACACACACCTTGATATGGTCCATCATAAGTTGCTTCTGTGCATATAAAAGAGAACAGTCTGGACACTTGAAAACAGACACCTTCTGGTTTTCAATGTGCTGGTCAAAGTGGCGATACAGCAAGGTCTGCAGGGTGAACACAGTGTCGCACATGGAACACTTATAGATTACTCTAGAACAGAAGAAGCGCAGCGAGATACAGTCAGTCAGCCTTGTCTCAAAGGAGCTACGACTTAGCATCTAAAGAACTCGGGAGGTAGAAGCCATTGAAAGAACACAAAGAACATTTTAGCTGTGATACAAACTTTTCAAGACAACTGGCATCTCTCAATTGCAGATAAGTCTTCAATTCTGACTAAGACACATTCAGCGACATTTGTTTAGAGATCTCAATAGCTGACCGTTTTCTGCCTCACAAGGCTTTTGTACGAAATCTCCCAGAACTGATACACACAGCAAGAAACAATCACAATTTCTCTCCTTCCCGCCCTCTTTCCCCTCTTTTAAACAAGGATTGAAAAGACAATACAACCAAACAGTAGCCTTCTAGCCTGAAAAAGGATGTGGGGGCAATTTTTTTGTAAGGTCAAACAAAACAGTACGACTCAATGGTGGTGCCCTAACTAAAAAAAAAAAAAAAAGATTAATGAAATAAAGACACCCAAGCTCTAGTATCTGGACAACCTGCCCCGAGTTTACATTTAAAATCATCAATTTCACACTTGAACATCAACCTTTCTATACCAATTCTCACACAGAAAACTGTACACCAGTACACAATTACAGAGATAAAAAGATGAAAACACACAGCACAGGAGGACCTGATGCTTCCTAAAAATGGCTTTCAGTACCAGTACACTAGACACTATTTCCATACCAAATGCTAATCTAAAGCCACCTCCTTAAATTAATATTCCCAACAAACCTCTTCCACTCGCTTAGACCTCACCTGAAGCTTGGGGGTGGGTGTTTGGTGGCACTGGGGTGTGTATGCAACACTCCCCTTGTATGCAGCTAGGACACAGCAGTGGTCCCTTCCTTATGAACTGCCCTAGGTCACCCTGGTCCTCAAGGAGGGCCTACGGAACCTGCCCCCTTTGAAGAACTGCGGAACAGGCTCAAAGAGACTAGTGAGTAGCTGAGGAAAGAAGGCAAACTGGCTGAAGAGAAAGGTCAGAGGGGAAAAGAAATTTAACTAAAAAAACTGTACAGAAAAGCTGGCAAAAAAAAAAAAAAGCCCCATGAACCTATCTGTATTTTCTGGGTGTGTTCCTAAGATAGCTCCTCATATGGCTGCAAAATCCACTGGGCAATGGTGTGAAAAAAAAAAATGTAATTTAGCCCAGCATGGTGGCGTACGTCTGTAATCCCAGCACTTGGGAAGATAGGGCAGCCCAGCATACTGCAAATATCATCCTGGTCAGGGCTAAACAGCAAAACTACCTCTAAATAATTAATTAATTAGCTTAACTCTCATAGAAGACTTTCTAATTAACTAGAAGGCCACATGTTTTTCCAAGGTCTTGACAAATTGGTCACTTTTCACCTTCAATTGAAGACGGGGAGAAAGATCCAGCTCATTGCTGGCAGGCTTTTCTACCACAGCTGAGCGCTGGTCCCTGTGAGGTCTCACATCACAGCAGCAGGTATCCAAGGATGCTCACTTCCTCGCTGTTTGAAACTGCTTACATGGCGAAGTCTCAGTGTGCAGTGGAATAAAGCATCACACAATCACACAGAGCAACTACGTAAGCATAGCTTTAAAAGACAAAGATTTTCAGGAAAATTCAAACAAGGCAGTATATTATGATATGGGCACATTTCTTTTTTATTAGTGACTTATTGTGTGTGTGTGTGTGTGTGTGTGTGTGTGTGTGTGTGTGTATGCCATACATATATGCCACACATATGCAAGTGTCCTTGGAGGTCGGAAGAGGGTGTTGGATTCCTGGGAGCTGGACTTACAGGCAGTTGGGAGCCTCTGAAACATGAGTGCTAGGAACTGAACCCAGGTCCTCTGGAAGAGCAAGAGAAATTTGTAACCACAGAGCCATCCCTCTAGCCCATGATCACATTTCTTAACAGGCAGAGGAAAGTATAAAATTATCATTGCCTCTAGGGATGGGTAGTATGCGCATGCTCTATTATTCTGTTTATCTTTATCTTACGGGTTTCCCATAATCAAAACACAGTCATTTGACAAAAGAATAGTGTCTGGGTTGCAGGGATGGCTAAGCAGCTCGGAGTATGTAACACACTTGCAGAAGACCCAAGCTTGGTTTCAGCATGGTCCCGTGTCAGGCAGCTCACAACTGCCTGTTAAGCCTAGCTCCAGGGGATCTCTGGCTTCCTGCACTCACATACATGAATACACACACACACACACACACACAAAATTAAAAATTAAAACTAAATCCTTTAAAAAGAACAGCCTCATAATACTGTCTATATGGAAATGCCATAATGAGACCTGTCACTTTGTATGTCCACTTAAAAAATTAGTTTAAAAAAAATATGTGAGTTCAAGGCCAGACTGGTCTGTAAAGAGAGTTCCCCAAACAAATGAGGGGGGCAGGGAGAAGAGTTTTAAGAGAAGCACTGAGATTTACTAGTTGGACTGACTATTCACTTAGGATTCTGTTTCTCAGAACTTCATAAAACCAGGCACGGGACCAGAGAGATGGCTCAGTTATTAAGAGTCTGCACTGTTCTTCTAAAGGACTAGAGTTCCTAGCACCCACATCAAGCAGCTCACAGCTGCTCCTAACTCCGGCTCCAGGAAGATTCAACCCCTCTGGTAATGCATGTATCCACACACATGTGCATAGACATTACACACACACACACACACATACATGATTAAAAATAAATCTTAGAAAAAAAACAGGTATGGCTCTCATTTTCTTCATGGTACATTCTCTTGGGGAAAGATATGAAGCCAAAGATGATAGAGCTACTTTGCATCTGTTGAGGAAGCTGAGGAACAAGCTGTTGATATGTTATGAGGAGCCAAAAGCACTGATAAGCTTCTATGATCCCTCCAAAGGCAGAGAGGCGGTGCGTTCTAGGCTATCCTGACTAGACACAGGCTATCCTGACTACACAGCAAAACCTCATCTTAAAAAGCAAAACAAAAGCACTAAGGACTGTAAAGGGGAAAGGCGTGAGAAATACGGCACAACCAACAGGCTCAACGGAAGCCGACAGTACCACTACTGAGAAAGGTGACTGACTACTGGCTGAGTCCCAGTGTGGCCCACAGAGAAGATGCGCAGTCTCATGCTGCAGGATTCCAGATGACGAGAGCAGGTTCTGGGCTGAGTCCGAGAAACCAAGAACAGATAGGGAAGGCCATTCCAGAAAGAAAAGCTGCTTTTTCTTCTTTTCCTTTTTTTCTTTTCTTTCTTTTTTTTTTTTTTTTTTTTTCGTGAGGGGCGGAGGTGTCTAGGCAGCTGGAACAATCTGAATCCAAAATCCAATCTGTGAACTGGCTGGCACAGTGAGCAACACTGGCCTGACCAGGGGCTGTGCACTCATGACTTTTACGAGTGTGCTTTTGTAAAGGGAAGAACACGCTGAGGTAACAGGTCATAATGTCCTGTTACTCCAAGGATGAGGAGAGTGGTTATGAGCTGGACCAGGTCGTGTAAAAATGCCAGCAACCAGGACTCTGAGCGAAGGCACCCCTGAGTTCTCAGTACACACTGACAACATTTTTGTGGGGCAAGAACCATTAAAAGTAGCAGTAACTACTAAGTAGCTGCTAAAAACTAGAAACAGCAAAGGACAAAGCTACCACGAATCACAAGCACGGCTTTAAGAACAAATTATGAACATGAAGCAAACTTCGCAGTGACAGTGGGAAGGCCTGAGAGAAAACAGTCTGCTATGGGAGAAATGGGGAGGCTTCCCAAACTGGGGGTGGGAGGGACAAAGGCAGAGATCAGCAAGCGGGGGCCCTCAAGTCCGCAGTGTGTGTATGTTGGGGTGGGAATAATTTGGAGCTGGGAAACATGAGGGACTGGACAGCCAGACCATTTTGGGTAGGAGGATATCAAAGCAGACAACAGGCCCAGCCAGCTCCTTGGACACTGCTGTACACGTGTGGGATACAAAAACAATTAAGTTGGAGCTCTAAGCCCTGAGATTCCGATGTGAGCAGCTGATTAAACACCACAGGCACATGAAGCACTGATCTCCACACTGTGGCTGGTTCTCGTAGCCCTGCCGAGGTAAACTGACATTACCTCCTGGTCCCACGTGGCACAGTAAGAGTCAGAGACCTGAGGCCATTTGTTTGATGTCATAAATAAATAAATAAATAAATAAATAAATAAATAAATAAATAAATTTTGGTGCTGAGTTCTCTTTCCCAGGACCTAGGGGGTCCCCTTCCATGCTAATAGTGTAATACTATAGGCCTTACTTCTCAGGGGCTTGTTCCAAATCTGTCTCTTATATAGCTCTTAACTTGGGAACTGTCATGTGCTTAAAATGAAATAAATTACCCAGCAATTATTAAGAGTTCAAAGTGCCCTTTAAGACAGCAGTGGAAATATGTCCACTCACATCCTGGGAAACAAGAAGAGAAAGAGCAAACAGTGCTTACAGCGGTATGTGGGGCACAACAAACATGTTACAGCTTGCCTGGTGCTTTGCAAACTGAAGTGTCAAAACTGTAGGACTTTTGGTATACGCTCAGATGTCTACATACTCAGGATAGAAAATGGGAGTAAGGTGGACACTGACACAGTCACTTGGGTAATTTGAGCTGCTTGTATAACCACGGCCATCCAAACACTGCTGCCGGGGTCAGCACCAGAAGGTTCTGACTCAAGAAAAATCGGCTTCTTTTTAGTTAATTCCAAGATGACCCCAAATTGGCCACAGGATAAGAAGTTTTACAGTAGCTTGAAAGGGTGAGGTGGTGCGAGGGGCACTATCGCAGGCACAGTAAGCACCACAGGCCTGAAACCCCACAAAGTTGAAGTGGCACACCCTGCAAAGCGAGGGTTCAGGCAGGGCTGGACTCAGCCAAAAGCTGAGGACTGAAGACCGGACGAGCACCAAGGTAATGCTGCTCAAACAGAGCTGCACTGGTCTGGGGCTTCTGTCTTCCATGTCGTCAGTGTGCTATTTCTATTTTACAGTGTAAAACACAGTGGCTTATTAAAGAACCCTGATAGTAAAAAAGAAAGAAGACAGAAGAATAAAGCTAGGAGTGGTCTCGCGTGCCTGTAATCCCACTCCAGTGGCTGAGGTGGGAGGGCAGAGAGCTGGAGGTCAGCCTGGCCTACACAGTTGAATCCTGTGTGAGAGGGGATGGGGAAAAAAATCAGAGCAATGTTTTCCTATGCAACTTCCCTCTTATCTAGGGGGGATCCATCCTAAGGCCCCCCAGTGGGGTCTGGAAGCCACACAAAAAACACTGAACACTCGAATTTGATACCTTTGCAGTCTCAACAGCACTGAGGCGTGCTTGTCACTTCTCCTTGTTGGGGTTGACAGACGATTAGCACTGACTTCGCTTTTCTCCTGCACTGTCTCACGGGTAGAGCATGGATTTTAGCATACGACTGTTTCCTGTTTCTTTACTAAGGTCTAGAACTTTCACTTCTGTACTTAAAGGAGGCACTTTCCTCTCTAGGAAGGGCTGGCACCATTACTCTTCCACTTTGGGGCCATTATGATGTGCACTCAGGGCTACCTGCACACAAGACTTCGTGCAATATCACAACCGTCAGTTAGACAGCCGAGCTAACTGTCTAGTGGGCAGGCAGTGGATGCAGTAGACACACTGGACAAAGAGATGCAGGTGTGATAAAGAAATCCTGGGACACAGTGTATAATCTAGACCCACAGATTGTTTACTTCTGGAATTTCCGTTTAATAATTTCAGTTCACAGCTGATCTTGGTTAGTGAAAGTTACAGAAATTAAAAACAGTAGATAAAGGGCGCGTGGCTACTGCACCTGTAAAGTGTGTCCTGTAGGTGAAGCTATGAGGATTCTAGACCACTGTACTCAAACGTGACAACACTGTCTTAACTTGTCTTAATAATCTACTATCCTCCCAGTTTTACAATTACTGTCAGACAGAATATGGGACTTATTTGAGTGAAGAATCAAGTGGCTATATTCATCACAAGGCAAACAAAGGCTGTAAATATTCACAAATTTCCCATCACGAGCGCTGGAAACACATGCATTAATCTCACTAATCCCTGTCTCTGTGTGAAGACATCACTGGAATTCAAATCCTCTAATTGTAATTAGCCTCCCTTTAAGGATCAATGCACAAACCATCAGGGAGAAGACCTATTGGAATAAATAGATTTTTAACACTGCTTTAGTAAACAGTCATTTGTATATACTCAATCAAAAAAAAAAAACCCTAGACATAAAGAAGTGCAGGTATTATACTGCATATCGACATCTCTTTCCCTTATGGATCTTTAATAATGGAGTTACACACACACACACACACACACACACACACACATACACACACACACACACACTCATCAAAATACTGGGATAGCCAATCTGGCCTCCATAATCATTATATTTCACGACCATAATGACCACCACCAGGCACACTGTGTGCACACGAAGAGGGAGAGAGCGAATACAGAAACCATGCTCCACACCCCAAACAGGCTCCTCAGGGCACACATTTCAGTCACATCACCCTATTCGAATCTCACTCAGACTCTGGGGCACAAGCATGACCCGCACTTACAGGAGAGGCTGAGACAAGAAACAGTCAACTTCACAACTGGCAGCTGTAGGAACTCTGACCCGCCCCTGTGCCCACATTCCCCCTCCCTGCTGCTGACTGACCCCTGCAGCAGGCAGGCAGGTAGCCAGCCCTACCTGTTCACCAGTCCTAAAGCAAGAACAGCATGAAGCAAAACTAGATTTACTTCCCCTAATCAAGACTTGTCCTAGCTCTGAAGTTCAATTGAGTAACTAGTGTCTCAAGCTGACTTGGCCTTTTGAACATTGCTGGAGAAGTGTACCCTACAATAAACAAATAATGGCAACACTGGACACAACACTGTCTGAGTTTTCTGGTTTATAGTTTACAAATTTCCTAAAACTTACTTGGTAAAAACCATCTTAAGGATAAAATGGGTAGGTATTCATTTGTTGAACAGAAACTGATGCTAAGTGCATGAATAACAGGTGACATTTGGGGACAAAGACTTTAGCTGGAAAAAGTACAATGACTTGGTGAGCAATGAGCAGAACGCCACACATCAAAAACCAACATAGCCGACACATGCTCAGACCTTACATCTTATTTACTGCAATGACACCCTCCTCTCAATGACACTACGGCAGCAGAGTAAAACTCAGCCACGGGTAACTTACTTTGGTTCGCCTATCTTGATGCCAGGATGCTGCGTGTAGGCGTGGGAGTGTGTACTTGGGGCGGACTTAAACGCCATTGGACAGATAGGGCACTTGTAGAAGACTTCACAGTGAGAGCCTTGAATGTGAGACTTCAGTGCGGCCACATCAGAGTACACAACATTGCAATGTACACATCTGTCAGAGAAACAACACTGTCATTAGCACAGACCACCCAACACCGTGAGCGACATCGCTGCGTGGACAGGGTGAAATGAGCGGATTTCAGCCCACAGGGGTTCCTCATGGCTTTTGGAAAGTACTTTGCCTCTTCGGCTTGCAACAGAGTAAAGTTAATTTTGTGTGTTCAATAGGAAAGATCACAAAGAAGATTAATGTACAAATGGTCAGTGTTTGGAGCATCTTTAACGTTTTGAGGAAGGATGTATACAGGAAGGCCAACAGGCCATGAGGGACACAGCAAGAACCTGGGGATCCTGGGCTGGGGAAGGACGTTTATGTACTGGACTAACACTAGGGCCTGATGTTCCCACCTGCCCTAGATCTGTCCAAGGGAAGAGGTCTTGGGATCTACACCTACATGCCCTCAACACAGGGAGGAGGGGCACATGAAGAGGGCATGGCCCATGGTCTCATGGCACACACTGATGTGGTCAATATTTAGCGCCACATGGTGACCCAGATGGTGGTGGAAGTCAGCACCTGTGTGTTTGTTCTGTCTGCTAGAAAACAGCCTGGCCGTGCTTGTATTCGGTCTTTAAACTACATCAACACAAGCTTCTGAAAAATCAGCATCTCCAACAACTGGCTCCAAGCTTCTGAATTTCTAAGTATGACAATTAGCTCATTCCCTGCTAAGACTTAATCCCATAGGAAATCTTCAAAACTGGGTCACCCCATCCCCAGATCACCATCTTTGCACAGGGACTCGCAGCAATACTTGTAACACCTCCATTTGATGATAGACTCTTTCTTCTTGACTCACATACGGAAAACATTTAAGAATGTTCACCACGGCTCTTGGGAGCCATCTGAGAACACGTCTCGCATGTGACTCAACACACATGCTCCTAGTCGTGCATATGCAAGTCACCTGGGAAAGAAATCTGCGGACAGGGCCTGCCCTCCAGTACACCACGCCAGACTGACACTTCTGCCCTTCTAGGCTTAGAGGTACACATGGACTCATGGAGTAACTCCTGGAAAACCACACAGAGGGTGTGTGTTCTACAGAACACACCATAGAAGGCTTTGCAGGCTTCGTTAGAAAATCACGGTGTGTTCTCAGGTTTACGGTCTTAAGGCACAGTGGTCACCAACATAGAAACTAAAACACTGTTTAAGTGGACAACAAGAAAGATTGGCTGTCTACCAACAGGGACACTATCTCAATACAAGAGTCAGCCAAGCATACTGGAATTCTTCCAGGCCCCACCTAATGCTCCTAAAGTCTGCAGTTGCCTGTTTGTAAGATAAAACACTGGACAGGTCATTTCTAGTCCCACCTTCCCCTAGAAGCTAGTGACTACAAACCAAGTGGGGGGATGAGGTCTTGGTCAGAGTTCTGCAAGCTCCCCAGGTTCCTGGCCTTAGGGAGGATGGCCAGCTGATGAGATCCATCTAATGCATCCGGGGAAGCCTAACTTTAGACAGATGCTAGAATCTGGCACTGGGGCCTGATGTTTCCACCTGTTCCAGTGCCAACCAAATGCTGCCCACGGGTATATTTCATCACAGACCACACACATCTTCCCGCCAAACATGGGACTAGACTCTTTATCTCAAGAAAAAAACCCAAGACGAACAGAAGTGAAGAAAGGCACACTAATGCCCCAGATGTTCTTGCACGTGGAGCAAGAGAAAAGCCTCATAGGCTGCAAACAAAGTAAAATATGGTTTTTAAGTTAGCAGCAGACATGACAGGGACTCAGTCTAAAGGGTATCACAGAAGTCAAGGGAAAATAGAGAGAAGAAAAGGGACAGAAGAGGTTTAGGGCAACAGAGGCCAACGACAACGACAAGTAAAGCGGGCACATGGAACACGGAATTTCAAAGACACCTTATGGCACCACAATGCTACTAAGCATCTGCTTTCAACGTTCTGGAATGGCATGCATTTGCCAACATGCCTAGCTCTCTTTATTATTTATTTTTAATTTAAAAAAGGTTTACGCTGGGCAGTGGTGGCACATGCCTTTATTCCCAGCACTCGGGAGGCAGAGGCAGGTGGATCTCTGTGAGTTTCAGACCAGCCTGGTCTACAAGAGCTAGTTCCAGGACAGGCACCAAAGCTACACAGAGAAACCCTGTCTTGAAAAACAAAACAAAAAGATTTACATTATACAATCCAACAATAATCTCTTTTTAAATGCATGTTATTAGGAGGCAGGAAAGTTCAGAAAATATTTGACTTTTATCCATAATTGACATTTACAAGTGAAGCAGGATCCAGGCATGGCCATCAATATTTAAGAGATACAATATAGGATCAAAAGCTAAGCAAGCACCTGCCTAGGAAGGAACAGAGGCAGGAGTGGGAGCCCTGACTACAAAAAGATCATAGACAAAATGATTAACTACAGAGACAAGAGAGAGATGACAGAGATGAGAGAGACACAGACAAACAGGGCAGGACCAACAGGCTGCCAAACCCAGTCAAAAAGCATCAACTACCCATTATTTAAGATAGCAGGAGGACTGGGCATGGTAGCACCGGTCTCTAATCCCAGGCTGAACTCTTGTTCTGATTCAGGTCAGCCTGGACTAGTGTAAAACCCTTCACCAAAAAGGGAGGGGGGGTTAAGCAAGAAAAATGTTTAAGTTTTTGTATCTTTTCTAAAGAAGTCAACATGAACTGAACTTCACAATAAACTAACAAGGGGAATGGGTGCAGTGATGTTGATCAATAACCCGAGCTCTGGAGTTAGGTTCAGAAGTGAGGCCAGCCTTGTCTTGTCTGCACAGCAAGTTCCAAGACAATCAGAGTATAATAGTAGGACCCTGTGTTAAAAGCAAATACAGAAAACCCACAAGCATGATGTTTCCACAGTCTGTATACCCTCCAGTCTAGTTGGGAAAATCTACACTTAATAAAAACTTGATAAAATTCAAACTGTAAAATTGAAAGCACCCAATTTAAGCAAGTCTGCCTGGGGCAAGCAAAGGGCAGAACAGTCTTCTCCCAGAAAGATTAGGCTTTCAGCCTGCATGTGAACCTTCTGTCTTAACTTGGGGAAGATACCAGGGATACCTCAGTGCAGAAGGCTGTCCCCTTCATCCCAATCTAGCCTTGGTTTCACTGAAAGGAAATCTGTGGGAACACCCAGCATTCAGCAGAGAACAGCAGCAAGCGCTCAAGCTGCGCAGCTGCTCTCCCGGGCTGTGCACAGGATCCCCTCACAGTTTCCAAGCATGTGGTAAGACCAAAGTACTGTTCTGCGTGGGTCTGTGCACCATCAGTTTAACCGTCACATCTCAGAGGGTTGGAGGCAAGTCACCCCCCACATTACAGGGTACACAGAGGAGAGGACACAAGAATCTCACACAAGACAAATCAAGCACAAAGAAAAAACCTGGTTTCTTGTTTTCTCAACTAAAGGTTTCCTACCAGGTTAGAGCTCAATCCATAAAGCATTTGTACACTACACATTGGAAGGCAGATAATTAGAAACAAGAATCTCTCATATTTTAATGTTAGAAAACTGAGCAGAGGGGAGCTAGAGAGATTGCTTAGCAGTTAAGAGCAAAGGCTCTTCTTCAAGAGAACCCTAGTTCAATTCCAAGCACCCCACATGTTAGCTAACATCATTTGTAACTCAAGGTTCAAGAGAGCTGAGGTCCTCTTCTGGCTCCCTTAGACAATACACATGCATGGTAAACAGACGTGCATGCAAGCAGGAAAAACACCTGTGCACAAAATAATTAATCTTAGGAGGGGGAACAAAAAGAAAGACAATTGGGCAGAACCACCCAAGAATTAGTGATCCTGGAACATAAACTAAAATGAAATAAAGGGGGCTGGAGATATGGCTCAGCAGTTAAGAGCACTGGCTGTTCTTCCAGACGTCCTGAGTTCAATTCCCAGCACCCATATGGCAGCTCACAAACATCCATAATGAGATCTGGTGCCCTTTTCTGGCTTGCAGACATACATCAGGCAGAACACTGTATACATAATCAATAAATCTTTAATGAAATAAAATCATCAAACCACACCAATGCTACCTCATCTTTATGAAACGTGTGACGGAATTACAACTAAGAAAACCACTACACATTAACAGTCCAACCAAACACAGTAAGACAAACATGCCACAGTAAAACATCTGCTAAAACAAAGACACGTCACCCACGACAGAGTCCCTGGAGTTTTCATCAGGGCGAGGGTAAGTGGGATGAGAGCACATTTAAGAAGGTAACAAAGCCTGAGAACAAAGTATATCATCACCTGACGCTGGATAAATTAACATCAAAGTGGCCAGATGTCAAAAAGTACACATCTGGGAATCTCCGGGGCCAGTGAAAAGATGAAAGGGCCGGAACTGAGGTGGAGGAGGCAGAAGGGAAGGACTTTTGGAGGTGAGGCTCCTCCAAAGACTGATGTTAGAAAAGATGTTCACCTGACCCTTCTGTGTGGTTCCAGCAATTCATCATGTGTGTATTATTAGAGAGGGACTAATAAGAGGTGCATGGTGTTCCTGCAGGGGATAAATACAGGGAATGCAAAAACATACGTGCAGGGGTGGGGGGAGGGCTACAAAGGCTGTCCGTCATGGCCAAGCCCTGAATAAGCACATTCACCTAAAAGGATCACCCATTTATTCTCATCTGTATGGACTGGCAAGGCCAACGTGACATCAAACTCGGATTCAAATAGATCCTCCTCTACTACAAATGAGCTAAGTCCCCAGAGGATCTGTGTGCTGGAGTACCTCTGACCAGATAACCCTGAGAACTATGTATGTGCACGAGCCCTCCAAATCGTAGTGCAGTTATCAGTGAACGACTTGCACAGAAGTGAACAACATACTGACCGAAAACCAACTCTCCGTGTGTAGTGCAGACAGTTCTTGGTGACGTGGGTCTGGAAGTGCACCGACCTGCAGATGGCCCCGCACTCGGGGCAGGTGTAGGGAGATTTGTGCTGATGGATTCTCTGGTGTGAAGCATGGCTGCACTGGTTAGGAAGCAGCATCTGGCAGACAGTGCAAGTCTTCTAAACAAACCAAAGGGGGAAACACGATTGGTCCTGCTAAGCATGGCTATATGCAAGTTCCTTAGTTAAGCTGTACAGTAGTTATGCGTCTCATTTTAAACACTGCTATAAATGGCCAAACCCAAGGAAGAGCAAACCTGAAGACTACATGTTTAACAGAAACGTTTTCACCCTGTAAAATAAAAATGATTAGAATGACAGAGGCAGGCTCACGCCAGTGTGAGCTAAAGCAAACACCAGCTTCAGATGCGTCCAGTCCTGTTTCGTTAGCATCTTTGTCCACAGCAGAGGTCCTCTTGCAAACTGTGTTGGCAGGTTAATCCTGCTACACGTTACAGAGCTCACAGGCCAACAGGACAGGTAGCTCCTACAATCCAGAACTTGCCTCAGGGCAGTAGAAATTGACCCAGGCTAATCCAGTTTCTTCTTATTTCCCAGTCAGTTAACTATTTAAATCTTAAATTCGGGAACACGAAAGGGATGGTTTAGGAATTGGTTTTCTTTTGGTACTTAAGTTGGCCTTCAATGGATGAACTGGCCATAATATGATTTATAATCATAAAAAATAAAAAAACTCAAGCTCAGATACATAAATTTGGATATTAAATTGAAATTTGCAGAGCATAAGGAATTTTACAAATCTTAAAATCTGACTGTATTAAAAGAAAGACAAAAAAAGACTGAGATCTTCTTTGAAGAAAAATATTTAATTATCAAAAAAACCCAAATACTCTATCCTATCCTCCATCCATCCCCTTAAATATAAGTATAAATATATTTTTAAAACATAAACAAAAATACTCAGTTAATATAAACTGACTACCATCCTCAAAACAAATCCAACAGAATGAGAGATAAAATTCATACTTTTCAGACATTTGTGCAAAACCAAGTACCTCTTGCATTCTAAAATAAACCATCTGCATTAAAGTCAAAGAAAGCCTCAAACTATAGATTCTTCTGAGATTAAAAACACTCTTTCAGATTGACAGCAGTTTAAAAAAATATTATTAATTCTTCATAGTTATCTCCAATTAAGCCCAAAAATTTAAGTTCTGAAGTGACTTATGCTAAGAAAAAAAGAAAACTCACTTGAAAATTATTTCTTGCCAGGCAGTGGTGGTGCACATTTAACCCCAGCACTCAGGAAGCAGAGGCAGGCAGATCTCTGTAAGTTGGAGGCCAGCCTGATCTACAGAACAAGTTCCAGGGCAGCTAAAGCTACACAGTAAAATCCTGTCTCAAAAAACCACAAGAGAAAGAAAGACAATTACTTCTTGGTTTTTCTCCTGAAAGGACTGAAATACAAGCTTTATCCCATGACATGTTTATTGTAAACACAAAATGAGAGCATTACAGGCAGTGCTGATGAGTTTAACGTCACTAACATGCACAACAACGGAACCAGTCAACAGAGTCCTAGTTACAAGAGCCCACTAGCATTACATAGTCATTGGCAATCACTCACTATGAACTACAGGCTTCCACCTTCTCCACAGCCATCATCCCAGGGAGAATTATGGAGGCATCTTGGTGTGCACTTACTTTCAATTCTAAAATAAGTCAAAAAACATTATACATATATGTCTCCACATTCACATATGCACACATTCATAGGTGTATATACACACATACTCATGTATATAGAGAGATATTAATATAGATTTAGGTATGGATTGGTTTCATTTCACCATGACTCAAGCAGTGAATTAAGTTCTTTCAATACATTAGGAACTTAATATAGATAAAATACATTGTATCATTTATTTCTCATAATCTATGAGGTCAATAATACCTTCATTTTACAGAAGAGGAAATAGATTTAATGACGTAAGAAATGTGTTCTATACCCACTGCTACTAAGGCAAGGACCAGGATCAATCAGGCTTGGGTGGAAAGGCAGTGGAAAGAGTGGAATGGGATCACATGAACTGAACCATCACAAAAACACAGAGTTGAGAAACACGAACAAATAAACCTGAATGTCAAAGATGACCCGTTTATGTTAAGACAACAAATTAGTTTCTCTTTCCCCATAGCTTCTCCCATACCTAAAACGTGATTATACTACTTCTGTAATAGTACAAAGCTAAAAGAAAACTTAAAAGAACAAGGGTCATGTGCTGTATAAAAGCTAAAAACAAAACAAAAAGACTTACATTATCATCCATTAAGAAATAATGACAAGCAATATAATACATATAAAATGAGCAACTGCTCATCACCTGATTATCACCCAAGATCACCATTATCACAACTCCTTCTTTCCCAACCGTGGACAGCCACCAGCTGAGGCTCCCACCCGTATCAGACCCAGAAGTAAAGAAAAAAGGACTCCAGCCTCGAATCAAATGCGTTCAATCATGGAGTTCTTGAAAAGGGAGGATGTGGTCAGAGATCACAGTGGACATGCAGGACTCTTACCTTCAGTTTATACAGGTGCACACACATCTGTGCACATACCCACACTACCCCTATGTTTCTCTCTCGGCTAATTGCTGCATGCCTCACCTCCATTCCATTTCGGTCCAAAGCACTCTCCTCCTTGATGTTTGCATAGTACCCATGTTTCTGAACTCACATGGCATTGTTTCCTTAACCATGCAGCCTCAAATTGCATAACTGTCCTTGCTGCAGACAGTAGAGATTCCACCAGCTCTCTGGGATGCTCTGAATCCGTGACAAAATGCACATTGTCTGGACCCAGAGGACACACTGAGCACAGGAGAGCAAACAGAGTCTTTGTGGTCTGGTTTTCCCTTCCTTTTTGCTTAAGTCAAATAAAGTTTTCCTAATTGGCACCAACTACGGCTGCTAGGCAACTCAGAAGATGTGGCAGTCTAGCCCAGTAGTGCATGGCTCAGAAAGAGAACAAAAGAGAAGAAACGCATGCACGTGGATTTATGTCTCTCAACATTAGGCTGAGTGCCATCGAAACATGCATAAAGGTTTTGATGACCAGGTAGGAAGCAGCGAATTTCTTCTCTGGGGCAGTTTTGTTTGCTCAGGGAATGATTTTTCAACTAATTTTACTTGTCAATAGTAGTACAGCAGGCACTAGAAGCCCAGTGAAAGGGAGTTGAAAAGGTCACAGTCCTTTCTGAGCCTGATGGGCCGGCAGCCAGCGGAGGCCGGAGTTGACAGCTGGCATAACAACAGAGGCTGGAGGAGGGGTGGAGCCGGATGTCCTGTTAAGAAGCTGGACTGGGGGACTCAGCGCCCTCCGCACACGTGAGGAATTACCTGAGCAACAAGGAATACAAGTCTTTGTCTCAATTTGTTCTTTTAGGGAGAAATAGAGCCTGAGAAAAGTAAAAGGGGAAGGGTGAGCGAAGCTAGAGACCACAACCACACAAAGCACCTCTCACAGGTAAAGCAAATAGACCTAGGGCTTGCAAAACACCCAGGCCAAAAGCCAGACACTGCAGCTCAGCGGGGGCCCAGCTAAGTCAATGCCTGTGCCTTTACCAGTTCTGTAAATGGCATGATGGTAAGATGATGCTTTTAGTGGTCATAATGAAGCTTAGCAGCTTCTTTCCTGGCTTTCACATTGTCATAATTAGAAGAGAACAGAAAATGCTTTACTCCCAGTCTCGCTTAAAAGAGGGTGACAAGGCATGCGTCACATCCTGACTACAGGTATCCTTTGTCCCCAGAGCTAGCTGGTTAGCAGTTGTTTCCAAGCCACTTGCCACGAGGCATCCAGAGCTGACTAACTGACATTGTAGGCAGTCACACGAGATCCGCTCAGGGGACTGCTTCTAGAGGAAGCACATTTGTTAAGAGTTGGTAACACTACCAAAACCGGGGCAGAACTAGTCTGAACAAGACGAAATTAGCAGTCTAGGGAGCAGTGCCTGAAAGTCTTCAGCTGAAAGCCAGTGGCCCACATCTGTAAACCCTGCATTTGGGCAAGGGGATCGTGAGTTCAAGTGCAGCCTGAGTAACAGCTAGAGCCTTTCTAAAAAAAAAAAAAAAAAAAAAAAAAAAAACCCAAAGGCTGTGAGTGTAACTCAGCAATCAGACACTTGCCTAGCGTGCCTAAGGCCTCGTTTAGTCTCCAACATGGCGAGGGAAGAGGGTGAATAAGAAAAGTGGAGGAAGGAAACTTAGTCTTCTGATAATGAAGGGGTGGGGCAGGATGCTCCAACACTTCTGCACCTGAGAACAGTTTATCTAGAGATGAGAACAGGCAGATACTGCTCGAAAGAATTTAATGTATAGTATGCCGTGTTAAAGATTCCCAGAAAGGGAACTGAAGAGATGGCTCAGCAGTTAAAAGCACACACTGCTCTTGCTGAGACTGCAGATTCCAGAACCAGGCAGCTCACAACTGACGGTACCTCCAGGGTTTAGCACACACGCACACACACACACACACACATACGCACATGTAGGTATAGGAATACAGGCATTCGTGTGGAGATCAGAGAACAATGGCGGGAGGGCCTGGTTCTTTCCTTCCAGTACGTAGATTCCAGGGATGAACTCAGATCCTCAAGCTTGGTGTGGCAGGCACATCCTGCTGAACCATCTCACCAGCTCCAAAACATAAAATAATTTTTGTAATTGCTCAGAGGGGCTCGAGAAGTAGCTCAATAGTTAAAAGAACCCATGTCCACTTACACCCATTAGAGACTCCAGTTCCAGGGGATCCAGTGCTCTCTTCCAACCACTGTGGGCACCGAGCATGCATGTGGTACACATACACCATACACAAACATAATTTTAAATATTAAAAAGAAAAACTGTAATGCCCAGAAAGTTCCTAAAACTGAAATGAGTGCTCAGTTTCTCAAAATGAAGACCCAGAAGATTGCACACCTCCTTCAGCTACTGCACTCCGGGGACAATGTGGACACAGACCTCCTTCAGCTACTGCACCTGGGGATAATGTGGATGCAAGCCCCAGTTTCTACTGAGGTCCCCAACTGTAAAGTCCTAAGTTTCTGTGTTGGGCAGCAACATAATGAAGGAGAGACAATGAGTTGGCAATGAAG